ATTAACTCGTGCTGAAGCCCAGTCACAGTCTTGCCACGCTCACACTGTGCCGACGCAGAGCAGTGGCACATGCCAGGCAGCCATAACATCCAACAGTAACTGCATTTTCATTTTACTGAAAGCAATGTCAAAGCATCTAACTCAGATGGAGAGCAAGACTGGACCCTACTCAACAGTCAAGGAGAGCTATCTTAATCATTTTTCATTTCTCAGAGCAGATTTATCTCCTTGAGGAGATGCACAGTGATATTTAAGTCTGTCAGCTTCTTTAAGCAACCAAGACAGACAACCATTAAGATAACATCAGTTGCTTTTAGGACACAAAGTACTTCCTAAAGCATAGAGAAGATAAAAGGAGTAATGCATATTTAGCAGGATATAAGGTGTTAGTAATTCGTTGACTTCGCTTTGGCCATCAGATCAAGCTAGAGCCTTTTAGTTATAATCCAAACACACAACATGATCCAAATCACCACGTGAGTCTAAGGGAAGAGCTTTGGTTAGGATGGTTAGCTTTTGGTGAGGATGTGTTCCCCTCATTCCATCTCTGCCCTAATCAAGCTGCACACAATGCCAAAACCAGAAGATGTTACCAGTATTCAGTGTGTTGTTCATCTGTGTAGGACAAAACTGGAACATTTCCCACTGCTTTTTTTTCCCCTTTAAATACAGCTATACACTTCTAGACAAGGAGTATACCATACACTAAAAGGCTTCCCCTGGTCACTTAGTTGCAAATCCTGTTGCACACAAGCAGCAGCTACACAGAAATAAGCGATAAAAGCAAGTGCAGAAGATGGGGACAAGTGTGAAGGAGGCTATGCAGAAGAGCTGTACAAAATACTGCTGTGCACTGTCACAATACACTGACGGTTCTGCTCATTGCTCCTCTTGCATTATAAAGACCACAGGAACCTAAAATCATCACAACTTGAGCCACTGTATTTTGAGCTACACACCTAACCTGGACACACAAACCAGCACAAAAACAGTAAGCAACTAACAAAAAGCAAACAGCAATAGCTAATACTTAGTGGTGTTCTTCATTGATAAATATCAAAGCATTTGACAAAGGAAGTAACTATTGTTATATTAGAACCAAAGGTGAAGAAAGCACAGGGTCAAAAGTTTAAATGCCCACCAGTAGAACAAATAAATGTGTAATGTATGACAACGTTATTCCAGCATGTCATTTTGCAGGCAAGGAAAGAAATACATTTCCTAGTTCAAATTAGTTGACTTTGACACAGGAACAAGCATGACATGCCACAAACCTCCCCAACAAAAGACATCCCAGCAGCTGTGTCACCAAAGAAATGAATCAGTGAGCAGTGTGAAAAAAATCTTACTGAAAGAAAGAGCATCTATGCTAGAGCTTTGCCAGCATTGCTCTTCCTCTGCAGAAACAGCCTGTTTCTGGTAGTGCTTATTTTGTTGAAGGGACTCCTGCAAACAATGCTACCAAAATAACTTGTGTTGATACAATCCACGCCTCTAGTAAGCCTGTTGGCCAGAGCAGCAAAAATGACATGCCTGTACTGACAAGGCTTCAGTGAGCTGTCTGTATATACAAAATAAGCAACACAAACAAAAATCTAAAATTTGCACGGATAGGGAAACACAGCAGAACTAAACATTAAGAGCTGTATGTGTTTATAAACTTTGAACTGAAACCTTAAACGCTATCAATTTAATCATCAAACAAGGCAGAAATCCTCATTAAGGAGAAAAAAGTGACTTATTTAAAATAACTTGCAAGTGAAATCAGTGCTATGAAATGCTGATTTCAGAGCACATTACACAGCATATTCAAGTTTTCATCATAAAACCTCAATACTTTCAAGACATGTTTCCCTACAGCATGTTATTTTTGGAAGTTAATGGAAAGAGATAAAGCAGAGAGAACAGTGGAGCACACAGAGCAGAAGATATCTTCCAAAAGAAACATTTCTCCTTTTTATTTTTTTAAATAACAAATTGCTTTTCAACACCCCAAAAATACAAAAACTCCATTATGCTCATTACTGTAAAGAAGTGCTGAAGTTACGGTTGATGAGACACTTTCATTATGCACACTATTTTCTGTAGTTCATAACTTTATGGTTCTGTTAGCCTCTTGGGTGAGATATTTTATGCTTGTCTTCAGTCCAGAGGTGAACTCATCCAGAAAGCATAATTCTCCCAGGTCACAAAGAGCTCTCTGACAGAGTTGGAAGACCTATACACAGGTAGACTGAGTTTTCTGATGCTCCCAAGCTTTGTCCCCAAATTGTCCTATACACAACACCTTCCTGCCCCATCACCATGCAGATCCTCTCCACTCATGATAAATTCATAGTTGAGTCTGGTCCCTGCTTTTTCACCCACCACTGGGTTAGTGCTACGTACAACTCAGCTCTGCTTTAGCACATACCAGTGCCCATCTGCAGGGTATTAGGCCATGAGATTCGTGTTCATGTTTCCAGGATGTGGTACCAGAGAATGGAAATCCCTGACTGCTGAACAGAGAGAAATGGATTCAATTTGCACTCATTTGCTTTGCTATAATCAATAACGGAGACCATTTTTTAGTGAAGGTGGAGGAACAGGTCACTATCTAGAACAGTTATACTCTATATACTCTATGCTATACTATTGTAAAAATACTTCTGATGACTCTGTTACCTTTGCTTATGCTAGGATGACAGCATTTCTTGGTGATATTCAGACAAAAAATAAAAAATTTTTGGCTGGTTGAGACAATTTAAATGCTGTGTCGTCACTTCTCAGACTTCCTTCACTGATTTGTGAGGAATCTCACTTCTCAGTCTATTACAGAAGCATGGTTTAAATTCTGCATTTATGTAAATGTTTGGACATGGTCATACGAAACTGCTCTAAATGCATGCAATACTTTAAAGACAATTTAAAAATGAAAGGAAGTGCAGAGGCATAGGAGAACGCATATAGGAGTACAAGAGCAGTTAACTTACCATTCTTCAGTTGAATACTGTTTCAATACATGATTCTGAGAGAGCTGAAATACTGAAATGAAACAATTATTTTTATCAGCCACCGGTGTTGTAAACAACATCTACAAAACCCATTGCAGACAGATCAGTCCAGTTACACAGCAAAAGGTGCAGGCATACACATACCAAATATTGCAAGCATGAGTGTGTTTGGTTCACAGACCTACCTATACAGACTCTCAAAATATCAAAATTAATTCTGCTCTGTAAGTTTCTATGCAAGGAAACATAAAGGAGCTGTCAACTTGCCTATTTTCTCAATTCCATTACAGAGATCATCTGTGCACAACGCAGAAAGCATCTGCACTGCACAAGCATATTTTCTGGCCTGTAAAACACGAATGGTGTATAAGAATGTCCTCATTTGCTCCTGGAGTCCAGATCCCAAGTGAGTTTGAAGGGCTGTCAGCGGAAAAGATACCAACTTAAAAGAAATAAATATGTAATTGCACAAACACATTTACAGACAGCAAGAAGATATTTCTAGAGTTGTTTTCAGGCTAAACAAAGAATAAAACATATTGTATAAAAAATAATGTGTAGAATAATGTAGTACAGGCAACTTTATGGTGACTCTGAGAAACATGTATTCCAACCCCTTACTTTGTGCTTATAAAAACATTAGAAAAGCCCACAGTGTAGTTTGTCACATTTTAGTATAATTGTTGTTCTCACTTCAGTTTAATCACCTTCACGGGCACATTTACCAAGTGCTTCTATTTCTAAATTGCATTTTAATAACCTACCTAATTGCCTCCTTTTCCCTAAGCAGATAAGTTTTAAAAAGACAGAAACTTTGGTATCTTCTGTTTCTTGCTGACATTTCTACCCAACATTTCCTGCAAAAGATGGTAGAAAAAAAATTCAGTAAGTGCTGAGGGCTCCCAGTAACTCTAATTCAAACTGAAGCAAGGCAGAAAGCTCTATCAATTTCACTTCAGCCATTTTTAATATGTGACAAAGCCAGCCCAGAAAATAAATATTTGATTAAAAATATTCATTACAATAGAAAAAGAGGATCAAAGGCTGGATTAAAAAATGGAATGCAAGCAAATCCTCTAAGAACAAATTCTGCAGGATTCATTTTTCCACAGTATCTACACATTTCTATGTCTCTGTATTTCTGCAGCAGCCTACAACAGATCTCAGTAGGTTGTTGTATGAGAACGCATAGCTTCTTGCATTTTAAGAGAAATAACCCTGGCATCATGTTTTGCATATGAACCTACTGATTGTGAAAGATCCTACCCCCAAAAAACAAATAAACCACCAAACCAGAACATCACAAAGACATCCATTCCTCATGCTTCACACAGCTTCTCACCTCCACCTTCTCTGAAGAAGCGAACAAAGCTTTCACCTTTCTGATTAAGCTGCTTCAGTGATATAAAAACTTCTCAGCGGCAAACTGGGAAGAAATCACCAATATTTTCCACAGAAGAACAGTTTATAAAATTAGAGGACATTGGTGTTTTCAATACAGCTTACTTGCTGTTCTTGGAGCTCAGCAAGTGCTGAAAGCAATTCCTGCAAAAAATACCACAAGGTTCTAGATACAACAACTTTATTGTGAGGTCAAGGTGCAGCAAGCAAGTATTGACCTCCTGAAAATGGCTCATTTGGTACTATTATCCTCTCCAAGCCTAGAAGATACAGGGAGAAAAAGGATTTTTACATTCACGAGATGAGCTACACTTCTGTTGCTTATTGTTGTCTAGCATCCAACCCAAGAAACAGCTGAGAGTCTCAGTGGCTGCCCTCCCTGTATCCTCTCCAGTCACTGCATACACAGAGGTCTCTGACAAGTCTGCTACCTCTTACATGAGATTATGATGCCACAGCCAGACTGAAAGAGAAGGAAAGCGAAAAAACAATAAAAATGTGTAAGCACTCAGATTTGTTCTGTGCAATAGGAAAATGCTCAACACCTGATTCTAAGATAACACTATTGGCCTCAACATAAAGTGTTTACAGATAACACCTAGCAACTTTAAACCACGTATGTATCAGCTTTATTATGATTAGGGGAGAGAAGAGATCCCAAAAGCATTCTGCAAGAGTATCACCTAGTTGGCACTTACTGTTTTTATACATGCAGACATTTGCTCTTCTCTTTATTAGTATCTGTGTATTACCCAGCCAAAACACAGTTAGCATGCATTCATCATTACATGTCCAAGAAGAACAAATCAATATGCCTGAACAGAATTTACAAAACCTAAATTATAAATCTCATCTTCCAAGTGCTCAGAAATTACTGAATACAATAATACCACTTATAACATTTTCCATCCTGATCCTAGAGTCAGTTTTGCTTTATGCAAAAATCCAGTGCAGTGAAAACCCCAAAATGTCCAAATCCAGATCACGTGGAGTAAAAAGATGACATCTACAACATGCTCTTGGTGGACATGGTGTTCTCATAGTTTCACTCTTTTTGGCATATCTTTTAAGTAGATTCTGTGAGGTAATCATATTTTTGTTTCACTTGTACCAACTCAGAATTCTAAATCCAAACTTGTCTAGGGTGTAAGGATTGACCTAAGGGTTGTATTTAACAGAACAGGAAAGAACACTCAGAAGTGAGATGCCAACTCTGTTTTTCACTATAACCATAATATACATAAAGAGAACTCAGATGACACCAGTGAATCCGAAGTAGCGATCAACGCAATTGTCTTGCTTGCTCAAATTCAGAAGATGTGCTTCATGTGTTTGATTCCGTATGTCTTGAAGAAAACCATGATAATCAGTGCCCACAGTCCTAGAATAAATCCTCCAGGAGGATGCCAGTCCTTTGGTTTTGGTTTCTGAAAAAAAAAAAAAGAAAAAAAAAGAGAGAAACACAATTAGTAGTTACGTCTTCATATGAAACAGGCACTGTGCTTCATCAACTGAAAAAAAGTAACATCCTGGCTGCAGAGAAAAACACAAGCTGTATTTCTTCATGAAGAAGCATCTTCTTGTAGATGTTGATGGGAAGAGACTGATGCTCAGGCAAGGAGACAAAGCACCACAGAAAGCCACCAGAACTGTGCCTGAGACACCACTCTGATGGTGATACTGATGGTATCAGTCTGGGGGACACGTCCAAACTCATTTGTTCAGACAGAACTTCTATCTGGTCTCACGCTAATATAAGAGAATAATGTTTCAAGCATGAAAAACAATTTCAGGAATTGAAAATATGAGAGGTGTTGTTTTTCCATTACCTTGAATGTTTTCTACAGCTCCTTCTGTACGCAGTTATTTAAATAAACATACCTAAACACATAAAAAGCTCAGATTCATTATTAAAGGAGTATCATAACACAAAATAGGATTGTTTTTAATGTCAGTCACATTTCCCAGAGGCCTCATCGAGTCTAACCGCTTTTCCCTAATGGAGAAATATATTCTGCCATTCGAATACCTGTCCCTTCAACAATTTTTTCATCTTTGGTAAAAAGAAATACACTGCAGTCTGTTTTTTTCTTTTTTTCTAACACACACTTAACAGTAAGGCAAGATAAAACTCGTCTGTCTCCTTCCTCCTCTTCTCATATTTACAAAAGTTTCAGATATTCCACATACTATGAGAAATGGATTGGGGAAGATAAGAGCTGCTGCATGCCCCAAGATCTGTCTCTGTAAGGCTACGGTGAATCCATATGAATGCAAAATTTTAGTCAAGAATATCGTGACAAAAGTATCAGAATTATGGCATTTAAAGGTATAATTCAGCCTGTCATGCCTATGTCAACTCTTGCCCTCAGCAGCTGTGCTTCACACATCTTCTATGCAGACAGAGATGATTTACAATAATAAATACTGAAGTGAGTGCTGAGTTATTTTACTCTGCCTTGCTGAAAGATTTGCACTATTCTGTCCTTAAACAGAACGAGGCACAAGGGGCACAAAGCGTATTTTGGTTCCAACACCTTTAAGTCAAATTTAAAATCCTCTGCCAGCAACATGAATAACTTACAAGAGATGGTACTGCTTCAATTTCTGCACAAATTTGCTTACAGAAGCTTGCCTTGTTGTTCTCCAGTAAACATACCAGGTGGCTGGTGAACTTGAAGGCAATAAGGAGCATTTTGCAGCATCTGTTCTTTCAAAACATCTCTTCTACCAAGAAGAAAACAACGTTTGTGGATTGCTCAGCTTCCATCTGCTAAGCTCCATAGAAATAACGTTAAGATTTTTGCTTAAGTACCGTGCTTGCACTTAGCAAGTGGCACAAGTGGCCTTGTCTCCTCAGGCACCTGAAGGAGCTGATACCCAGAAATATTCGACATTTCATTTCCTCTGAAACTGGAATCACAACAGGCATTGTAATTTACATTTGTAACAACAAACCTACAGTTATAAGCAAAAACAACATATACTGCTTCCTAAGAAGCACTCACCACCTGCAGCAGATGCGTTACTGCTACTCTGCCACCTCACTGCTATTCACAGCCACGCATCTCCACACAGAGATCTCAGGAAATCAACTCTGAATGTTCAAACAGGCTGCCAGCACACCTCACTGCTGCAGGTAACAGCACACGACACTTCTCCACACAGAGGAACTTTCTTGTTCAAATCCTCCTAATTAACCCATAACTCCATATGCATATTGCAGTGCCCGTTTCATCAATCTCTTTGTACTATCAATCTTCCCTCTCTTGGATCTCAGACAAATTCCTTACCACAAAGTGGCACCTGACCCTTCTAGACAAATGACTTCAATTTGCAGTCAGTGACACTAAAAGCCTCTCTCTCCTATTTTGTATAGATCACGTAATTTAATTTCTTTAAAGAATTTATATGAATAAATATTTATAAGGTGATCTATGGGTATGGTTTTACATTCTGTCACACCATGTGCTGAAGGCTGCTCCAGGAAATTCCACAAGGAAACAAAGGCTACTGCAGTCATGTCTCTACACGGGGACATCAAGGGCATAGAAATAATCAGCTTAAAGCCATGTGATGCAGTGCTAAATCATGAAGGATATGTTACTGTTTAAAACATGAAAGTACCCCAAGAAGCATCTGAAGCTATACAAGAGCTTGGTCATCTTAAAAATAAATTACCTGAACAAAAAAAGTTTTTACAGACATGAAGACTGGTAACTGCATGTAAATACTTAACCACAATAAAAGGGCAAAGAAATGCAACTCTGTTGTACATCTGTAAGTCAATAGCGAGGCTAATTGAGCACAAAATTATATCGAAATATGCCAGTACTTTCCATTAGCAACATGCAGACATCAAAACCTTATGAACACCTGAAAAGGGGTTACACAGATTCATGTCTAAACCATTAAAGCATACCTGCAAGAGCTGGAGGAATACCAGTACTGCAGCCATAAGCAATCCCTAGATAAACTGTCGCTATGCATGAATTAGAAACCATAAGTGAATACAGAGTTTCTTCTAGATTCTTAAATTACAATAATAAATCAATATTTAACATATGAACATGGCCTAATTCAGCACCTTATTCTAGCAAATTTCTCTGTAAGGCAAATTTTTGAAAGTCAGGCATTTTCTCACACAATAAAATGCTAAATGGACAAAAAATATTAAGTGCTGCAGTATTTTGATTTGCAACTAATTACATACCTTTACTATGCCTGAATTGATGTGAAAATGTGTATTACTAGAAGACTGCAAGTTTTACTACTTCAAATTTCTGCATAATTTTCTCTTATTTGGGACTTCTCTCGAGCAGCAGTGACTCAGGTTATTCTGAATTTCAGTGTAACAGTACCCCCATAAGAACTTTACTAAGGACTGCTTATATTTATTAGGTTTTGTGATTTCTGCTACAATACAACCCCATTATAAACGCCCCCTTCCTCCCCACAATAACAGCTGTAACACACAGGTGCAATGCACACAGAAATGGCACAATGCCTCATGAACAAATACGGTCACCAGCTTAAGGGCCAGTCGTTACTGAATTGCTGGAGATTCCAAATTAAGAAGGCAGGTAGCTAAGCAACAGCAAGCTTCCTCCTGTGAACAGTTTTCTGCTGCACTCTCTTTAGTTCTGCTAGATTCATTATTCTGAGAACTTTGTAAGAAACAGTTAACAGGAAGTTGCTCCAAGTACTGTAATTGAGGAGAGGATAAAACAGTGCATTTTCAAACTGGATGGGTCTGCAGGGACCATAATGGAAAGTATCCAAGATTTTCATTGAAAGTGTTTTGTAAAACATACAGTACTTACTATTGCAATTAAAATTAGTTTTATTTAAGAAATAAAAAGTGTTATATCTGAAGTAGTAATTAAACTAAGAATGGTTTAGATTTATAATGTTAGATCAGAACAGAAGTAAGATTTAAAACACCGCATGGAAAACACTTTGATAAATACCATTATGATCTAACCCTATGGTCCACTTCCAGGAGAACTCAACTTTATATCAGTGTTCCAAGTTAAATACTGTATAGAAAAGTTAAACTCAGAACTCCTATTTGGATGGCAGCAGTAGATAAAGCAATGCACACGGTATAAACACAGCAGTATTACAGCCAGGAATGAAGCCATTCCCAGACAAGAAAAGGACAGGCCAACGCTTCTGTCTATGTCAACAGCTTGTTCTGTATGTTAGAGAGAAACTGGAGTTTCAAAGTGTCCTAAGCCCAGTTTTGGTGATACAAAACACCACCTTGGATCCCGGGGCTTTCTGGCAGGAGCAGCAGCTACTAGGGGAAGCTCTGTGCGTATCTCTCTGTAGATTTCTCCACCTCTGCCAGTCTTGGAGGTCAGCAGGCAGCAGCAGGAAGTGAATCACGTGTGCTGCTTGCCAGTGCAGTGTCCTGCATCATTATCAGGTCATTGAGGGAAATGCTATATATTTTAGGATGCAGATTTAAAAGTCATTCTCATTTGAATGTGTATTTCTATTTCTTTCACATTACAATACTACAATGAAGATACCTAATTTTATGTTATGGTCTGATTTACAGACCATTACTGAAATCTGGAAAAAAAGGTCTTTGAAATCCAAGGCTGACCTCAGACCTAGGGCTGAAACAGTTCACCTGCTTCTCGACTCAGGAAAAAAACTGATCTCAGGCCAAAGGATATGGAGGGGCCAAATTCTACCACACAGCACACCATGCCAAGAGCCCTTCACGTATTTCTCAGAGACGCTCCATACAAATTCAGGTTTGCTTCCAATTTAAAATTTCAGACCACACAATCATTGTATAATTCTTGTACACACGACAAAGCTTAATTTCAGAACAAATTTACATGCATCACAATTAAATCACAGCACAAAACATATCCTCAGAGCTTTTTGTGTAAGTATGCACTTCTAATTTAATGGTTACCATTTTGATTTGTGATCCCCACGGTGGGGTGGGGGAAATCAAATAATTCCAGCCATCTAGAAATAGTTTAATCCTCTTCTGTGCCCATAGCAAGATGACAGTCATAACAGAACTCCAACACAAGCAGTTCCTGTTAATCTGCAAAATATTTTAAAGCCTTTTGTCTAATCTCCTGGTTTGTATTTATTAACCACAGTGCCACGATTACTGATATCTCTAGTGTTAATAAAATGGTGAAGAAAGTTCATTCATCGACAAAAACTCGTGGACAACATGAGTTTTACCAACATCTGCATTTTAAATATGTACTTCGAAAATTTTACAGTCACCATAAAACAAATACTGTAGTTTTCATTTCCTTCTAAAATATGTAATCTGTAGGGCTTATTAGAAATGATCCGCTACTTCAAAAAGGGCTGCTCATTTGCTATTTTCTACTTTCAGTGTTATCTCTCAGCATTATATAGCACTTTAAAGTGTTTTTGGTGGTTT